GGCAGGGAACAAAGGTGAACAGGTATGCTGCCTGTAGTGTGTACTCGGCATGAGTAATGTTTGATTTCTAGCCAAGCATGTTTGGCAAGGATTAACCTTTTACATACCTTAGAGTACCAATTCTCATAAATGTATGTGGATTGATTTGGGGAAATAGGGTTGATGAGTAACTGTAAGCAGGAAGCAAGACTAAGAAATTAAATGGGTAGAATGTCTGATACTACACTGCAAGTATTCAACTGTGCCACAAAAGGGAACTTAAAATAATACTGTGGCATCAAGTGTCTTATTGTTGTTGCTGTCTACTGTTGATCCAAAGTTGTGCTTACTAATTAAATACAATTATTAAATATATATATATAAATATATCAGTATTTAACCAATAGGCACTACATATTCAATTTAATAAGATTATCTTAGACTTTTTGGAGCCCTAATAAGGTTGGCTTTTGTGATTTTTATTATTTATGCTAACAAATCGAAATCTATTTGTTAACCAACTGTGCAACTTGCCCTAAACTTTACAGTAGCAAAAGTCGGCATGTTACTAAAAAAATGGATGGCAATGGTTATGTAATCATAACTATTGCCATCATCACCAGTCAGTCCTGGTGCTGATTAGCTGTGTTAGCATGCTAAAATTAGAACAAGATTAGCATATAGCACAGCTTCACAAACTTGCCTTTATTGACAGATTGTAAGTTCTTTAATATATATTTTTCTTATTTTTCGTCATCTACAGATGGGGTATGCAAAGACATCTTAACTGTAGCTGGACCAGAGGTGGAAGCTAAACTGAAAGCAGGTGAGAAAAAGAGAAGCTGCTACTTACCTTCTCATTTTATTTATCTGACTCTCACTCACTCTGTCACTTTCTGTGCAGCAAAAGTGAATCGAGGAGAAATTTTTGAGACCCAGTCTGGAAACTTCCCCTGTAAAGCTATTTTACACGTGCATGGAAAACAGGATGAGGTCCTCATTGAACAACTTGTGTGTGGTATCATGCGTTATTGTGAAATTCATAAATACAATTCAGTGGCAATTCCTGCCATGTGTGCTGGTAAGTAATTTGTTTGACATTTCTATTTATTCTGTTTGTTGTGAAACACAAACACACACACACACCTAAATGCAAGTGGTGTTTTAACAGGAGCTGGAGGGTTGAATCCTGCCATTGTGGCAGGAGCCATTCTTCGAGGGATCAAGTCATCTGCATCAATCATGACCAGCCTCACTGACATCCATCTCGTCCTGATTAAGATCAATGTGTTCTTGGCTTTTAAAGAGGAAGCGATGCAGATGTATTCCCCAGCTGTCATCAACAGAGGTGACAGAATTATTCACAAACTGACATTTTGTGTGGTTATTTATTATAGTGAATTTTAACATAAAAACAGATTAAAAATATTTTACTGAAAACTTTTCCTGATTTGTTCCAGTACTTCCAATACTTCCAGTACTTCCAGTTCAAGTACAGCAACAACAGCCTCCTCCTTCTGTGAGTGCATACCTCAGCAGTCTCCAAATCAGCTCTACAAGTCAGCAGTCTGTCTTCACGTTCCTGGGTCTTTCCAAAAAGGACGTT